ACAAACCTCGGTTTCTAGCTCTCATGACTGTGTGGATAGGCAGGAGGACTTCTGTATATTTCTAAAATAGCTTCTTCTCATCTTTCCTTAAGTGCTTTGAACCTAGGTTACTGCAGCAAAATAAAGTATAGCTTTGCTTAATTGTAATTATTTACTCAGGCCACAGAATTTGGCTCTTTAACTGGTAAAAGGCAGCGCCATTTGTCCGTATGCTTGTGGTCATGTTGGGAGTATTGCATGCAGCGGGCAGATCTACGGTATACATTTAAAGCACATGGCTTCACCCACAAAATCCTGGGAACTACGGTATCCCTGTCACAGGACTACAATTCCCAGTCTGCTTAACAGTCCCCGGGATTATTTGGGGGAAATCATGTGCTTTTAAGGCACATTGAATGTGCTTTAAATGTATCCTGTGGATCTTCCCCTGTTTTGGGTAGTGGTAGGCAAGGACAACAATGCACATCTCCCTCCAAACGGTTGTGTCGTATGAGCATTACTGACACCTGAAGTTCTTTGCTTTTGCTGTGTTGGAACAAATGTGTTTATATGATACATTTTTATCCCAACTCTCCCCCAATAGAAAGTGTGTGTGTGTGTGTGTGTGTGTGTGTGTGTGTGTTCCCAAGTGATTTCTCATCCAAATGTTGGCCAAGCTCAAGCTACAGACCATCTGAGAATTAACTGCAAGGTAAAGCTACAAAAGAGTCTCAGCTGCTTCATGGACTTGTCAGCTGGGTCTGCCTGTGGGTGGGTAGATGTCTAGAGAGTTTGAAAAAATTCTGCATCATAGTATTAAACATCATTTCTGCACTGATTTCTAGGGCTTATTTTAGTTTTCTTTTCATTAGCATAACTCTTGTATAATGTGAAACATTTTATTAGATTTCCATTGTAGAAAACCTAACACATATACTTCTCTCTCTCAACTCCTCACTCTTTCTCTTGGCCTGAAAGAAACCATAATTCTAATGAAAGCAGCCATTTCCATACATATATGCATATATATATATATATATATATGCTCACGTCTCAAAAGTTATGGCATATTTTGTCAAATGGATAATGCTGAGGATTTAGTTTCAGCCCACAACAGTGTTTTAATCAAGGTTTTTAAAAGATCAAGAAATTATTTTGTTTTAGGGTTTTGATTTGGAAAATGAAACATAATACAGAGTAATAATGAAGGCCCAGCCCAATCAACCTCAATGAAGTCATCAGCCCAATGACTAATGATGCTCATGAATTCTCAGAGCTTGATTAAAGACACAAAGTGTTATTCTAATGACCTTACACAAGCTATTGGCAATTCAACGTTCTTGCCTTGGTGTATATTGTATGTGTTATTTCAGACAGTATATATGTAGGCATCTACATATAATTCTCATCAGATTAGGGTTGTCGCAGGAGATGGAAGAAGGTATTGGAATTAAAACTGCCTCACCATATGTGACAATTTATTGTTAGAATCATAGACCTAATGATGAATCAAAAGGTCATTTTTCAACACCTTGACACAAGGTAGCACCTTCTACCAGTCTGCACAATCCAGATCAAAATATTCTCTAATAGTGATTAGATGCCTACAGAAAAAAATACTATCTATTACACATGAACCCTGTAGGTGAAAACATACCATCTCCCCAACCTTATGCCTAGCCGTTCTGATACAGTGTGTCTGAATAATAGCCTTAGATCACTGGTAAAACAGAGCTTTGCATGCAGAAGATCTCAGGTTCAATCCGACATCTCCAGGTAGAGCTGGGAAAGAACCCTATTTGAAACCCTGGAGAGCTGTTGCTAGTCAGTGTAGACAGTACTGGCTAGATGGATCCATGGCTCTAGCTCAGTATAAGGCAGCTTCCTATGTAACTTGTGACTGACTAAGCTGGCAACAAATCAGACAGGTATGTCAACCCACCAGGGTATTTTATTTTTGCAGATTTCTTGCGAACCCACAGTACAAGATTATGGTGCTGTATTCAGTTTGGTGGACAAAGATTGTGGCAGTCTGTGTCAGGGCTGAGCAACACTCGCCCACTGGGTGATGGTAGTGAATGTGGTGCCTTGCAGATATTGTTTGACTCCAAATTCCCACCAACCCACAGTCAGGGGTGGCTGTACATGTAGTCCACTAGATCATCCCAAAGGAAGTATGACTGCTAAAACTTCAACCCACCCAGTTTGGAGCTTTTGTGTTGCATGCATGAGAAACTCATTGGTTACAGCTTTTGAGTAGAGAAAACACTACCAGCAGAACTTCTAATATTGTGTTGGGAATGGTGCTTGAAAGATTGAGCTATTTTGAAGATGCTGTAGGTATGGCAGAGCCTTTACCACTTCCGCCTTACTCTTCACCCTTTTCTCTCGCCCATCCTGCTTTGGAAAACAAACTCCATTTGCATGTCAGTGCTGCATCATGTAGGTGCTTTCTAAGAGCAGAGAACATAGCAATACCTTGGACTGCTGTTGCCCCGAGAGATGAACCAAGTTGGCTTCCTATACCGGACAAGACTGGAATCCTGATACCTTTGTTAGGATATTTCCGTTCCACCTTAAAAGGGAGCAGGCTTTGTGAGTCACAGAGTCTGCGTATTTCCTGTTCACAGGATGTTTCTGTTGTGTCTATGCTTTCGTTTCTCTCTCTGTGCCTGAGACACCGAAGCAGGCAGTCATGTTTTCTTTGTTGTGACCAACGCTGAATAAACTTGTAAATAATGCTCTCCTGAGTGCATCTTTCGCTGTGCATTATCTGCTGATAGAGTGTGCATGAGCTCTGGAATGTGGCAAGCAATTTCTGGAAGCTCGTGTCACTAATTGAATGATACTGCGTGTCTACGGGAGATCGATGGACGTCCAGAGGCGGCTTGGGGGCCATGATGGACTTTGTCTTCCTGGCAGTATCCCAACAACCTTATCCTGTGCTTAGCTGCCATTGCAGTACAGAGCAGCATATGATTGGTCTGGAGAAGCATTTATCTTAAAACAAAACAAAATAAAACCTTCAAGGTTTAATTCTGTTTCTTTTTTAGGGGTCAGCCCCTTCTATGGGCACCTCTGGGAAGTTCAATGCAGTGACCAAAGGACTTGGAGAGAGATTTGATTTGTTTTACTTTACATCTGAATTACAGGATTATATTACTCTACTGTGAGGAGAGGAGGGGGAAGTATATTCCGCACCTTTTCCATGGCAGGAAAGATCAAATCCTATGTAAATAGAGAGTGTTTTTCATATAATGAATGTTCCTTTTATTCTGCATTGCTGTATAGTATTCAAAATTGTGCTTTTATTAGAGGGGGCCCCTGGAAAGGAGCCAACAAGATTTTCTTTTAACTTGATATTTTGGGTTCTGATCTTTGTTAAATCGACAATGGCGTGTATCTCAAAAGAGTGAGAGGTCATGTCTGTCGCTACTACCATTTCCTATAATTTCTGGGGAATGTTTGTTTTCCAAACAAAGAATTGGGTTGAAGCTTAAGTATTGTATTTCAGAACGTATTTCAAGCAGAAATTAAGAATGCTAAAACCTTTCCCTTAAAGGTCAGATGTTATTTATTATTATTATAAAAAAAATCTGTGATTTATGAATTTAACTTATCGTCAACCTGCTTTGTAACAGAATATGCAGTCAGAAGCTTAACATTACATTGTTTTCCTTTGACAACGTATCCACGAGACCACTGCAGCTGTTCCTTTACTCACAATAGCAGATTAATTAACACAATCATATGCTGTTGGCTCCTACTCAATGAGTAGGTCTGCTGTGGGATAGATAGGTAAATCCTTTAAATGTGTATGAGATAAAGGGTATACTATAGTAGTTTTATAACTAGCCAGTTTTGCTTCTGACTAGTCAGCCCTATCAGCAATGGTTCACTGACTACAGAAGCAGTGAGCTTACATTTCAAAGGCAACCACACCTATTCCAGAGCAATAATGCTGGCATCAGAATGTAAAAAAAGCACCGGGCCCTTCCAAAAATCAGCATATTCCATTAGAATAGCAGGCAAAATAACTGCCTCGAGCATTTGGAATTGGCAATGTGTGTTTTTCTTTTCTTTTAAAGTTCCTACGTTGATTTCCTTAAATATCTTATTTTGTACAATCCTTATTGGGTGGGTTTTGTTTTTTTAATGCCTCTTTCATTTGGAATACACTTTTGAGCAGTCAACATAGAATCTGTTTTTAAGTCCCTGAAGAATTTTTCATCCATTTCTGAGTCTGTCTCTCTCTGTGTGTCTATGTGTGTGTGTTTTAATGAACATGTGAGTAGCTAAATCTCCTTTTCCGAAAACAGTCAGTGGCAGCATTGTAAGAATGTATTTGGCAACTTTTGCTGACATTTTAATGCCTGTTCAGAAACCTTTGTTGTAGAATACATAAAGCCTGTTTAAATACTTGAAAAGACATACCTTTCCATTTGGAGAGCACAGTAACCCAAATGCAGTTGAACAAATTTCTTTTTTGGACGATGTCCATGAGAAATAAACAATTTTACTCATAGTTTGCGTGGTGCAGAGGAATGTAGCAAGCTATACTCCATTAAAGCAGGTTGGAGTCACTCTCAGGGCTCCCCCTCCCACTCAGATGCTTAAAATCCTTTGTTTTTCTGTGTTAAAACTATCTGTATTTTGCACTTTGCATCTTCTGTGCTTTTCCTAGAGACAGGTGCACTGCTACTCTGCTCGATTCAGAATTTTTACAAGCTTTATTTTTGGCGAGCATTCAAAAATAAAAGCTCTTATTTTCCTTTCTTTTTTAAGTAGAGTTCTTGCCCATCTCATTATGTGTTCAACTGTCCCTCAAAATTCCATCATTTTTTCATTCAACCTGGACAAAATCAAAACTCAGAGTTGTGCAAATGCCCTCAAGGCTCCAGGGAACACTGTAGGGAAGCTCCCAAGCCTTTGGAGCACAGGAAGTTGCCTTATATTCAGTTAGCCAGACCCTTGGTCCACCAGCTCAGTATTGTCTACACTGACTAGCAATGGGTCTCCAGAGTTTCAGGCCAGACCCACCTGTAGATAGCTTGAACCTGGCACCTTCTGCATGCAAAGCAGATGCTCTACCACTGAGCTGTGGTCCTTGGAAACAACAGAGTTGTAGAATCATTAATGGCCATCATTAATGGCCTCCACAAGATGCAGTAACCCCAGCTCCACACACAAACAAGGAAAGTGTGTCATATTCTAAACCAGTGGTTCCCACATTTTTTTCGGGCCACTATCCCCTTGATTCCATAAACTCATCTCCAGTGACCCCCTACACTACCCTATAAAAAGCATTATTTAGAATATAGTGGTACCTTGGGTTAAGAACTTAATTCGTTCTGGAGGTCCGTTCTTAACCTGAAACTGTCCTTAACCTGAGACAGCTAATGGGGCCTCCTGCTGCCACTGCACCGCCGCCATGCAATTTCTGTTCTCATCCTGAAGCAAAGTTCTTAACCCAAGGTACTACTTCCGGGTTAGCGGAGTCTGTAACCTGAAGCGTCTGTAACCTGAAGCGTCTGTAACCCGAGGTACCACTGTAGTGGTTTTCACGACCTGCTAAGGAAGATAATAAAATCATGACAATTAATTGCACAATTATTCAAAATCCAGTTAAAACTAGTTTAATTAATTCAACAAAACTAATGAACTTGATCCAGTGAAACCAGCTTTTCAAAATCTCTTCATCATTGACACCGCCAGCGTCCCTTGCAGCCACCTAGCCTCTTAGCATCCTTCCTAGGTGATCCCACCAACCCCCAGGATGAGGTACCACCCACTTTCGGAACCACTGCTCTAAACCATAACCAACCTCTGACCCACAGTGTAATCCTGACTATAGAAAGCCAGCATAAACAATGTGTAAATTATGCTAGCGGAAGTGACTCCTTTTCTAAACTCAGTTCAGGAAGATATTGGAGGACTCTGGCTAAGTTCTTAGAGGTTGCCAGGTCATGTGATCAAGCTGGAAGAATTGGAATAGGTGTTCTTCCTGGTCTTGTTCTACCATGCCCCCTTTTGGGGGGAGGGGACTTAAACTGATGCAAATTACAATTACTTAAGTTCTGCCACCTGATCCCTTGACTGAGCCAGATGGTGTACATACATAATTTTATTTGTATGCTGCCTTTCCATATTTCTATATATCTTAATAACAACACCAACCCCCCCAACCCCCCCCACAACTCCTAAACAACACCCTAGCTAAAGAGTCTACGCAGCAGCCTCAGCTTTTGTAACTGGAATCAGTCAATGCCCCCCCTCCCCCGGTCAGGTGGGAAAGGGCCTGAAGGATATGGGAGCAGGTCTTCCAGGACTCACAGCTAAGATGGTCTCTGGCTTTTTCATCCAGAGTGACCTGCCAGAGAATCTCCAGCTCAGCCAGGGTGAGGGCCTTACACTGACGTAGCCCCAACTATGTCCTGACTCAGCCAGAAAAGCCCAAGATCCACCAAATACAAACTCTCTCATCCTGGTGGATCTTGTTTTGGATTGCACTGTTGGAGCATTTTTGAGAACTGTGCACAAAAACTTTCACACTGAGATCTAATTTCTCTTGCGGACGATTTATGTGGGATTGCTACAACAGCATTAACTGATCAGGATGCCAATGCCATATGGCTAGCTTTGTTTGTTTTTATTTATGCTGCCCAGTCTACAATCCATGCATCTTTTAATTAACTGAAAGTCCAAGTTATCCAATACAAGGTCATGTCTTTTCAGTATCTTTTCATCTAAAGTAACTCACTGATCCTAATTCTTTCTTATCTTAGACCCTTTGTCTTCCATTAACATTTGGATAATGATGTGTGTGTAAATGACATTAAGGCTTCTGCCCTTCTCTCTCTCCTTCTCTTTCTCATGCTCACAAACACATACAGATTGCCAACTGTCCCTTATTCACTCTCTAGTTCTAAGACGTAGAAGCTGATGGTTGTTCTTTTTCTGTCTTGCCACTCAGTTCATTTAAGTTTGCTATAATATGATCAGCACATTATGATTTGCAAAATGAACCATACAAAATGCTTTACAATAAATGACTCATTATTAAGCCCATTAGGGGTCTAGAAAGATCAATATCATGTTACTCCTTCTATACCCAATTGATGACTGTGCTCTGCAGGTGAGGGCTTTCTGCAGATGCCATCTTATCAAGGGGTCTATTCTGCACATTTATTTATTTACCATTATTTACATGTGTATCCCACCTTTCCTCCAAGGAGCTCAAGGTGACCTACATAGTTCTCCTCCTCTATCACAAAATCTCTGTGAGGTAAGTTAGGCTGAGAAGCAATGACTGGCCCAAGGTCCTTTAGTAAGCTTCATAGCTGAGTGGAGTTTTAATCCCTGGCCTTCCAGGTCCAAGCCTGACACTCTAATCACCATGCCATACCAGCTCTTACTGTTGTGGCACCTCCATTTGGAATTCCCTCCCTTTAAATATTAGACAGGCACCATCTCTGTTGTCCTTTCGACAACTACTAAAGACCTTACTTTTCCAACAAGCCTTTTAAGTAAAGCTCTTTCCTAATCTGCACCCACACTGGAATTGTTTTTAGGTGTTTTAATTGTTTTATTGCTTGTGCTCTTGCCTCCCTGCGTTCCTTTGCAGGAAAGGATAGGATATAAATTTAGGACATAAATAAATAAAAATACATGAGCAATGAAGTGTGAAATACTCAATACCCTCAAGCCTAGTATACATCCTATGTATTGCTACTAGGTAGCCAAAGGCAAGGCAGAGAGTCTCCCTCTCTGACTGCTGAAGAGGCAGGGTAAACAATACTTTGCACTTGTACCATATTACAGGGTGTTCAGTGGGGATTTTTTTGGGGGGGGTTGTTTGTTTTTTACATTAACGGCGAGCTTAATTTGGAACTTGCCCAGTATTCATGAACTATATTAATTAGAAAAGGAAAGGAAAAAAGTTCCTCTGTTTTCCCAGACTACCCTCCCAGCTTCTAAAATTGGTGCACAGCTGCTAATGGTGACATATGTATGAGCATTATTGCATTGACCTCACTGGGAACTGCAGTTGGTTTCCTCTGCCCCAGCACCCACTTGGCAGCACAAACCTGTGACACAGCAAAAAGCTAGCCCTTTTACTTAACGGAGAGTAGAGCCTGAGTGCTGAGTCACAGTTTATGTGAACTAGTTTATGTGGTCCTATTTCCTTCCTGAAAACAGGTGTGTGTGGGGGAACCCTATATGAGGCATTAGCCCTGTAGAGTGACACAGTCTCACACTCCCTCTGAGGAAAGGTTACAGCATTTAAGTGATTTCTTAAGTTTGAGAAAAGGTAGACAAGAGGATGCAGATGATAGAAGTACATATAACATTGTGCATCGCTTGGAGAAAGTGGATAGAGAAAAGTTTTTCTTGATAGAATTCAGGGACATCCAATGAAACTGTGTATTGGAAGATTCAGAACAGATAAAATAAACCACTTCTTCACACAGTATATAGTTAAACTATGGAACCCCACTCCCGCAGGATGCAGTGACAGCCACCAACGTGGATGGCTTTGAAAGAGAATTGTGCAAATTCATGGAGGAGGATAAGGATATCCATGGCTATTTGCCATGATAGCTTTGATCTGCCTCCACGGTTGGAGGCAGTAACGCTTCTGAATACCAACTGCTGGAACCCACAAGAAGGGAGAGAGCTCTGGTGCCCATAGCTAGTCTAGTTGGCCACTGTGAGAACAGAATGCTGGACTTAGATGGGCCACTGGTCTGATCCAGAAGGCTCCTCTTGTGTTCTTATGTTAGAATGGAAGACATTAACAGAAATGAGTGGATGCTTTCTGGCCATCGTTATAGATTTATTTTTGTTGTTGTTGTTTGGCTGCTGATGTCAAGTTTCTTTTGTCAATATGTATTTAGTTTTCACCAAGGAAGCACAATAAACCAGATTTCTGACTGCTTTCTAAATCCAGCATAACTGTAGTTGATCTGCGGCACAAAGCCATTGCAAAGAGCTTCCTGAACATTCAGCTGTTTCTCGCCCCACAAACGAATCACACCCAGGATCCAGAGAGGGTTTTTATATCTGAATGGAGAACAACAGCCACATAAATTATTTGCAAGGAACAATCAAGAGAATTGACCCAGATAAAGAAGATCTTCAACAAGCAAAAAGCTGACTTGGTTGTGTGATCCTATTTTCTTTTCTTACATTTAAATCTTACCTTTCTCTTACCAAGGAACTCAAGGCAGTGAACATGGGGTTCCTAGGAGGATTCCCATGCAGACCCAGATCTGCTTAGCTTCAGCAAGGTGATAACTTCATATGCCTCTAGACCACAGTTGTCTAGAGACCACACTCTGGTACTGTTCAGGTTAAGACTATCAGCAGCTACAAGTCAGGATGGCTATGTTCTACCCCTATAGCTGAAATAGGTATGAAATACAGTTCAAATAGGTATTCACCATCTTAAAATATACTTAAGGTTTGGATATATTTGAATAGCAACCTTAACACACACATATACCTGCTCACATATGTGCGTGCACACATTATTTTAACAATTACATTTTATTCATTAAAAAATAAATCATTATTTAATTAATCTGACAATTTAGGTAGACGACTGTTGCTCCTTGTATTGAGATGGAGAACTGAGCACAAGAGACAGGAGTTTCTCAGTTGGACAAGGTTTCAAATGAGGACTCCAGGGCCAAGTCCAACCATCTGTCTACTGGACCATGTTTTGAATGTAATCGGTACGAGAAAGCACTACACAGATAAAGTGACTATGACCATGCAAATGAAAGCTTTAAAGTTGGATCTAAAAATTCTGGTAGATGCTCTAGAACTCAACTTGGCTGCAGCAGCAAGAGGCGGCAGCCTTTGAGACCCCAAAAGTCTTTTATATGTCAGCGGTCTGAGTCAACTGCCCTGAAGCATGTTGCATCCTAACCTCAGCTGCCTCAGGCCCTCAGAAGAAGAGAACTAACAACCAAGGGCTTCTTTGTGGGTTGTCAAGCAGTTTTGCCATTGGGGTCCTTATCATTTCCACACATCTAACTCCAGGCAGCCCACATGGATCTTCCCTTGCTCCATTTTACCCTTGCATGGACCCTGTGAA